GATATGGATTCTTTTCAAAACTATCAATTGTTCCAAAGTTTATGTGCATTATCTCATCACAGCAGTTTGCCTTATATTTTTATTTTATCATAATGCACATTTATGACATTACTCAAAAGTATATCCTTTTAACTGAAAAATTTTCAAGACACAAAATGATTTTTCAGCTGTGATTTCTTTATCTCAGTTAATATAATCAATAGTTTAAAAAGTATGATAACTTTTAGTTAAATATCAAAATAATGAATATTATTCCAAATCAGTCACTTCACTCACTTCTGTATTCCCAAGAGGTGCATATTGCAGTTATATAAAGTAACTAAATTTCAATGGGTAAAATTCAATAGCTTTGCAATGATACCAACTGTTATTATATCTAATTTCTAAAAGTTATTGTATTTTGATGTTTATCATTTGGAAAAAATAAAATACAGTAATACACTGCTATTTTTATTCAAAATGTATTTAATTTTGGCATTGTCCTCTGTAAGGAAAAGACATAGATTTTTATATCCTTGAGTCTAGTTTTATAAACTACATTTTGTCCTAAGAACATCTCTGAAAAGATTTAGCCAGCTTCCAATTGCTCAGAGCAATAGTGTCATCATCCTTAAATTCTCCTATATGATGGAAGTGGTCTTAGGAATTCTTTAACATCAAATTCCTTACCTCAAAGGCTGCTGGGTAAAGAGGGTGGGGAAAGAGGAGAGCAGGTATCCAGGGCTCTCCATCTATTAAGATGGGACTCACTGGAGCCTAGAGCTCTAAATAATACTAAAAGTTTTAAAGACTTGTTCTCTTAAGAAGGACACATTTCTCATCGCCAGCTTTCTAAGTCAGGAGCTAATAATACCCTCAACCTTCTTGCCTTTTGCAGATATGTGTGACACAAAGTACGGGTAATTTCTGCTGAATTGAACCCGTAATGAAGGAATTTATAATCAGTTCTAATGTATTTGAGACCTAAAGTATATTAGCCCTTCATCAAAGGGAATGATAAAAAGCAGCATTAATATGCGTGGATAGTAATTATTTCAGAGCTTACAATTATTCTCCAGTTAACTACAGAGAAATGCTGATATTTTTATTCCTTTTTTAAAAAATAAAAGGCACTGTGGTCAGATTTTGAAATGTAATAATGCATCATACATCCTTTGTAAAGGCCAATACTTTGAATTATAATTATGTTAATGGCAAAGGAATTATTTTGGATTTAAGTGAGTTCAAAGTTCCTGGTTAGGAGTTCCCTTTACCTTCTTTAGTCCTGTTGTTTCACCACTGAATCTATTTATTGCCAACAGGAGATATAAAATATAGTAATTACTCTCACTCCCTTTCAGAATGACGTGAGGTCCACTTTCCTATTAACTCTAATGAGAATTATGTTTGCATTCCTCAGAGAGGACAGACCCCATAAACTTTCAAGGTAGAATAAATCACTTCTACACTCAGGTTGAAGAGGACTCATTTGCTTTATATTTTGGTGCTTTAAGATACCCATTTAAACTGCTGGTAATGAAAATACACGGTTTGTTGTTTAAAAGAAGCATAAGCTGTGGTTTGAATGTTGTTAATAATTGTTATTTCTGTTGAAGGATAAATGTTTGACCCTTTGGAGAAATCATGTTGATCACCTTACAAGAATACATGGTCTCTAAACTGTGGTTGTCTAATTTTCATAAGAAAATTAATGACAATTACCTCTCACAATATTTTATTTCTATTTAACAAATCTTTAACATCAGTAATGACATCAATTATAGCAGTTTAGAATAGAGGAAAAATTAGCTAGAGTTGCTGATATCTTAGAAAGAAAGGAGCTCAAGGCAATGGCTGTTTTCTTTCTAGCCTGGGAATAAGGGATCTGTATCTGTAATCTGCAAGCATATGTTTCCTCTATCGAGTTTCTCATTTTGCAACCCCAGACCCTTTCAGATATTTAGCCTCAGTGCCTTTAGACATACGAGATAAAGGAAATCTGTTTTCTTTCTTTTTCATAATCATTTTTGCCAAAAACCCTTGCCCTCTTTATCCCAGGGAACTTCAAAAAATCATATGTAAAAAATTCTTGATGTTAAGAAAACTCAGTTATGCTGGAATCACTAAAGGATTCCTGGAACCTATATTATGGGAAAAATCTAATATCATCCAATAATAAAGTTTTATTTAGTATTCAATAAGTGAAATTCTTTAGTTGAAGGAACTCAACGTAATCCTTCTCTAGGATAATGATGTCCCCATCTATTTATGATGTTGAAACAATATCTGTATCTGTTTCTAACTCTTCAGATTTACTACAGTAAAAGATGTCCTGTGCAGTGTATGTATGAAATCATTATTTCCCATCAGTTAAGAGTCACACAGCTTCCTGACTAGGGAAGGTGATAATAATGTAGCAAAAAGCTGATTCATCCATTCCATCCATGGAAAAATTTTCTCATTGTATATGTGGTATTATTTCCATGGTTTCTCTCCTTATGCAGACTTAGAGTCAAATAGCAACTAAGAACTACGTCCCACATGCAAACAAGTGGGAGATCACGTTTTAATAAAAATTCTATTTCTATAGCGTCTCATGTAGACCCGAGAGCTAGCAATTTTTTGTGCGCGCAAAGTTCGTGAAACTACTGGCTGAGCGGCTGTAGAACCTGAATGATTGTCCAGAGAAGTCATGTAGATTGCCTTGATTGCCTCTAGGAGGAGAAAGAAAGAAATTTCCTTCTGAATCATCCAAGAGAGATATCTTATAAAGCTCTGTACATGAAGAGAGTGACTTAATTTAATTGTGATAGGTTTTACATGTGTCTCCAAATATTAGTGAACTGATGATGCAGCAAAAAATTTTGAGCTAGCATTACTTGTTCTTAATATAGCCAAGAATTAAACAAATTAAATACTTTAACTAAAATTGGAAAGTAGATAGTGGTTTTGGCAACAATGAGTAACTACCGCTGAGCTTAATCCGTGTGGTTAGCCAGTAAATAAAACCGTAGCTTCTGTATATCATCCTTGAAAATAGAAATGCAAGAAAATATATTTGTTGAAGTCTGTTCATTTACTGCTTTAGGTAATTACAGAAAAATAAAAAGCTTGAAAATATGATTTTTTTAAGTCCAATATTTTGCATGATGTTTTAAAATCAGAAATATTTTAAATCTAGTTGTGATACAGCATTTTTAAAATTAAATTTAAAATATTTATATATTTCAGAAATGCAGCAACATTGTTGCATGGACATCAAATAATACTGAGGGTACTTTTTTGCATTTAAACAGGGTCATATTAAAGAAATGGATTTTTCTGTGAACCTGTAACTGAGTGCCAATTAACATAAATTATTGCTTTCATCTAGGTTTTCTCTTAATGGAATGATTGCTTATAGAAGTGACTATGAAAGTTTATCACTTAATTTATTGTGTACAACTCCTGTGTCTGTATTTGGAATGAACTTGAAACCTTGACCTTACAATTGAGTAGTCAACAGATCCTGTCAATAACATCATCAATTTCTCTATTTCTAATCTTTTGGTCTTTGCCAGTTATTACTGTTTTTCAAGGCTATCTCTCTGAGCTGATGAAACATAACTGTATTATATCTCATTTTTTCCTTCTGTTTTCTGGGATGGTGATTTTCATTCTTTGATGGTTGTGGTTGTGATATTAGGTGTAGTTTTGAATTACAAACATAATACACAGTAATCGCTGAAAAGACAGAAATCTTTCCTCAAATGTTTAGCAATCTTTCCCTATGAAGTGTGCTTACAGTTAATGCCTGCTTCTTTGCTATTTATATTACTGAATTCAATACATGACTTTCAGTCCTTTTTTTCCCTTCTCTTCCTCTGACTGTTATTTTATGCATGACAAAATTCTCTTGCTTACTGCTATGTGATTGGCTGTCTTTTAACTTGAGTGTCCTGTGTTTGTAATGATTGCTTTTTGCATGAGGATTACAAAATGTCAAACAAATTAAATGGTTGTTGAAACAAAAAGAAATGTGGGGCTTCATTTGCTTTTTTGTGTGCCGAATACGTCAATTATGTGACACTTAAAATTACTTTCATATGGCCTTCGACTTCCCCTTTGGTGTGCTCCTTTATTCTAGCAAATTAGTATTGTTAAGTATAATAAAACATTTATTAAACATTCACAGTGTATTAATACAATTATTATCCTAAAACATGATCCCATTATAAATAACTATACTGGGCATGAAATTGCACTAGGGCGTAATTCCATTATACTCCTAAATTGATTATGAAATATAAGCCCTGACTCTGCATCTGCCTTAATAACTAAACACTGACTTCTATTGATGGCACCTTTGCTCTACCGAGTGATATGATTATCTGTTCATACATTTATGCAGGTTGCAAAGGTCTTAAATCCATAGCTAATATTTAATCAAAACACATGGGGAAATATTTGTGTCATGACAAGTAATTTTAAAAAGTCACAGTTTTGAAAAATGTAAGATATAAAAATGTGTAAAGCCCAAGTATTAATGCTCTTACAAAAAAAAGAAGAAAAAAAGAGGAAAAAAAGCCCTAAAAATGTTCATATTTCTGTTTTCCCTAATGTTATTGTATTGTCCCAAATTAAAGAATAAGTTTGGCCTACTTTCTTTATTGTTGTCACCAATTCAAATTAGAAAAGACACTGAATGAATTGAGTTCTTTCAGCTCATAAAACTGTTCACTTTTTTGTATGCAAGCACTGGGTATTTAAAAAATTATTTCCTTTGTTTATGACTTGAGTTTCAAACCATAATGTATTTTTTATGCTGGATATATTCACAAATCAAATCTTCTATGAGATATTTTGGGGAAAGGGATTTTTTTTTTCTTAAACAAAATAGTCAACTTTGACATAACCACTTCCCCATTCTTTTTGGAAATATCCTTGAGAATTTTAGTATTTACATTTATTTTTTTCCCCTCAGTCGTGTTTATTCTTGAATTGTCTTTTTTTTCCCTCCATTTCTCCGTTCTCGATCCTAGGTCCCCTTACAAAGAAACAGACAGATGATTTAGGTGATAATGACGGTGCTGAAGATGAAGGTATTTTTTCCACCAAATCTATTTGCATGACAAGGGCCTCAATCACTTTTTCCACCCCTTTCTATTTTTTTACTTCTTGTCTTTTTTTGAAGAATTGTTTTTAATTCCCGTTTTTGATGTGTTTTGTCTTCTCGCTTGTTACATATAAATACACATTTTTAATTTTTAAAAAAAAAATGAATGTTAAGTTTTACATTTTGATGCCAACCATTAAAATGTTTTAAAAAGAGGGGCATTTTTTGTTTTCTTGAACTGACTTTTGATATGTTTCATCCCATGTTTTGACTGAAATTTGTCCATATTCTTTGAACTAACAATCCTGCCCCCGTAGTCTCTCTGTACCCATTTTGCATGTTTTCTAATCTATGTAAATATTTTACCCAATATCAAAATGTGTTTCATTTTTACATTTGATATTCGTTTAAAAAGAGCCCCACACCAATAAAATGAAGGACAAACTAAAAGCTCATCTAAAGTGTTTCTTGAGCAATATGGGTTAGATTTAAAAAATACTGTTTTCTGCTGATTTGCTTAAACATCACATAAATAAATGAAAGTGTATAAGTAAGAGAGGCATTAAACCTATTTAGATAACTGTAGTAAACATTGTGTAACCCCTTAAACACTCTGAGCAGATTCACAGATACAAAACTTCAAAGGCACATAATTTCTAGATGGGGAAATGAAAATATTCTGATTTTCAAAGCAATAGTGTATTTCCTACTTCACTAATACCAAAATTGTTTTCTCTTTCCAACTTTCTTATGACATATAAATCTGATTTACTCTGTAAGTAGTCACTAGATTGATTTGACATTTCTCATTTCATTGTGTACGTTTAGTGTTATGCTGGGTGTCTATACAAGACCACTGATTCTTTCAATTAATCTTGGTTCCAATTAGGGCTTTTTTTTTTTTTTTTTAATGCTTCCCCAGTTATGATTATTATAGAAGTGACCAATGTAATCCAAGTTTAAAAGTAATTCTTGGAACCCTGGAAATTAAATCTCATAAAGATATTAATAATATGGTAAGGAAGGTTTTCCCAAAATAAAATAATCCACAAGCAGGCCAGCAGAAGTACTAGTTCCATGAGTTACAACGAGGAATGAATGTATCCTCACCAAACAATTTGAATTATTTTCATTGAGATATATATTTAACAAACTACTTCACAGTAGAAAATTAACTTATAGAGATGAAGTGGAGAAAGCTTAAAAATTAGACTGTGTTAATATTTTTATAACATTTACAAATTTTTTTAATTAAATTTATAACATTTGATTAAAAATGTATTTACCATGACCCAAAAGTCGGTTAAAGATTAAACATAAAACTATCATTAATATTTGAAAGAAATTATTATAGCTGCCCGAGTTAAAATTTTGAATGCTAAATGGCTAAAAATAAACTTATAATATCAAAATGTAAATTGTGATTTTTTTAATACTGTTGGAAATCTGAAGTATTCAAACATTCAGGATGTTTATTGACTTGAAGGACATGGATTATTGTTCCCAGTGCTCTCAGAAGACTGCTTCCACTTGGGGGCTTTGGGATTTGTTGAACCCACTGAAAATCCTTAACTCCTAGATATTTGTTATCTGAATAACACCTAAGTATAAAGGACTTCTTAGTGTGTAACTTTGTAAACTCCAAATTTTTCCAAAGTACTCACAGGGGTAGTATACATTATTTTGCTATTTAAAAAATATTTTGATTGCTGATTTAATGTGCTTCTTTTTTCTTTTGGTAAAACAGCATCAAGTAAGCCATTTACATGTTTACAAAAGATATCTCTGAGTGACCAGGGTGAGCTAATCCCTGTAAATGTGAATCTATTTTATAGACCTATTTTGAAGCACATTTAACACTTTTAAATGGTCATTAAAAATATCCTAAACCCCTATTTAAATTGGCAGGTAGTATTCAGGTTAAGTACTAAGCCGGTTAGATAACAAGAGTTATCAAACCAATAAATATTTTTCAATGCTCAGAAGTGTAAAATGTCAAGGCAGTCAATTTGAGTTCAGTCTATTCCTCTGTGTTGCTGTTTTGGATAATTATTTAGAAGACAAGAAAGATAAATTCAAATATCCTCAAGGATAAAAAACCTTTGTAGAAAAGTCTGAGCATCTTCTATAATTCCGTTTACAATTATTTTGTAGAGGAGTAGGAAAGAACACCAAAGCCAATTTTCACATTTAATTTGTTCCAAATTTTGAATCAACATCATTGGACATAAAGCACCAAATATGAACCACTTGATAACCTACTTTTAGTTCAATTAGGAGCCTAGTTATCTGGTTATTTATTTGGAATTCTCCATTCTTTCTTTTTTTTTTTAAAGATTTTATTTTTTCCTTTTTCTCCCCAAAGCCCCCCAGTACATAGTTGTATATTTTTAGTTGTGGGTCCTTCTAGTTGTGGCATGCAGGATGCTGCCTGGCATGGCCTGAGGAGCTGTGCCGTGTCTGGGCCCAGGATCCGAACTGGCAAAACCTTGGGCCGCCCAAGCAGAGCACGAGAACCCAACCACTCGGCCACGGGGCCAGAGCCTCTCCATTATTTCTTAACAACCAAATTCCTTTCCCTGATTCCCACGTCCCTGTCTGAGCCACTGCATTCAGAGGCTGCCTGAGACATTGACTGGGGCATGGCCCTCATTTGCTTACACCAAGCCGAGGCTTCTCGGTGGAGCACTGTTCTTCACTTCTAATTCTCGCTTGTGTCTTTACCACTATTCTTTTGCCATCTTTACGCCAAACATGTTGTACCACTTTTCATTTGTGTTTTATAAAAACCAAAAGAACTGCATATTTTACAGACTACTTCCATAGTTTCCAAAAGCCTAATCTGAAGTGATAAAAATGGGTCAAAGCAACATCCTAGCTTTCTACCAACTTATTTTAGGAATGTAAGACATATTTAAAATTTTTTAAATAGTGCTAAGAATACCTTAATATTAATATTTTAATATTCAAATGCAACTTTATATCCTGCATGGAGTTTTTAAAAAATTGCTTTGGTAGATCTTTGTGTATTTTTTAACTAAAAATTGTAGCTTTGATTGTAAGTCCATTTTAACAAGCAGAAATTCAGCCAATATTTCTATATTCTTATGCTGGTTTTGAATGCTGAATTTGATAAAATGAGCAGGGGACACAAAAATATCTTGAAATATCTTTAAATAAATCAGAGAAAGATTTTATTGAGGCAATACCCCACAATTTTAAAGTTGTTAAATGCTAAATTAGGGTCAATTAAAAACTTTATGGGTCCTTTAAGAAAAAGAATCCAGTAAACATAGTTAAAGAGTTATGTGACTAATATTTATTCACTAGTACCACTAAAGGAATTGTGATTCCAAACCTTGATTGTCAGGCACTAATAAATCCCCACTAACTGCCCTAGATCTATTGACATTTGCTACATTGGCTTAAAATTTTGGTTTATCAGAAAGATAAAATAGTTACTAAAATTTAAAATCAAGATGTCTACTCAGATTCCAAGCTTATTATTTTTTAACTTGAGAAACTTAAATACTTTCTTACCATAGAAAATTTAGGAAAAAATAACCAATGTAGTATTTCCCCCTAACCCTCCCACTCTTTTCAGAGACCTAGGAACTTAGCAAAGCTTTAAAAAATTGCAAATAACAGAAAATATAAACGTGCTTTATGAACACTTATAGTTTTATTGGGCCTGAACTGGTGTTTCAGTATCTGAGAGTGTTCCTTTGATCTTAGTAAAGTCAGTAGCAGGTGTTTAGGCAAAACCAGAAATCTTAGGTGAAATCTACCTTATTTACAGGGAAAAATATGAGACAAGGTTTAGAGGGATGACTTTGCTCTAATAAATTCATTAGAGATTACGAAAGCACATCTAATATATTTGCACTAAAGACAGAATGGCTCTCCAAAGTCTTATTATTAAAATGATGGCATTAGCAGATAGTATTCAATAGTAAGCTATCCGATATATCAGTTCATTTATAAAGATTCTGATTCTTTTTAAAATCGGAGTATATATAATATAATTTAAGCTATTTATATTTGTTATATTGTTACTATAGTTAAACTGCGTACTTTTTATATTTACATCAAAAAGATCTGTAGACTGTGAAGAAAAGTAAAGTCTAAGATAGACCTTTCTGATAAAACACTATCAAAAATAAATTCTAAGATGGACCACTCTGATAAAACGCTATTAAAAGTTCCAATCATTCTGCAATAGAAATATGACATTTTCCCAAACTTTATTAGCAATAGTGAGTTATTTTGTACAAGAATTTTACCTATTTTGGTAGTTGATACCCCAAATGGCATTAACTTCAGGGTTACTTTAAGCAAAAAGAAATATTGTTCCGAACACAGCCTTAGAATGTTACAGAACTTTCTGGAAAAGAACTCCATATATTAAATTCTTAGGCAATACTGAAACCTTTGAGAAGTTTGAAAAGACAAATTGGAAATTAGAATCAGCCCAAAGTATCAGCAATCCTTTCAAGTCTAATGTTCAAAGAAAAATAGAGAGGTACCACTCAAAATAGCTCCTAGAATCTATTGTTATGTTTTTGGTGTTTCCTGGCAATGTCCACTTCATTTTGTTATTATGTACAAAGTGTGGCAGGTCTTCTCAATGCGTGCCTGTTATTGTTTTCCAGGTGAACAGAATGGTTCTAAGATTTCATTACTGTTCACAGTTGGTGCTTCGTAATTCTATGTAATTTTAATTAAAGAAGAATTCTGAGACAGTCTCCCTCTGTGCTACCTCCAAGCGTACAATTAGCAGAGTACAGTGTCTGCTGTGAGCAGTCAGTTAATGATTTCAGTTTAATAATTTATTATTGCTTCTTCAGTGCCAGCTATACTAGAAAATAAGCCAAAGCTGTACGCAGCAAACAGGCATTTAAGGAGAGTTTAACAGTTTTAAAGGATTGTTTTCTCTGTGTAAGCCTAACATCTCCACGAGCCCTCAAATCTTTACAAATGAGCAAATACCATTTTCCCTCCCAAGGATTTAAGGAGAAAATAAATCTAGGTTTTCCTTCTAAATGTAGCTGTGTCTACTGGATGGTTTTTACATCAAAGTATCCTCTTCTCACCACTTAGAAACAAGACACTCTTCTTAAGTACACCCTTGCGGGGGAGGGGAATTATGGTAAACGTAGACACTGCTATTAAGTAAAATGTAAAATAGTCTTTTAAAAAAGTCTCTAAATTCTGCAAGGAGCTGTTTCCCCAACTTGGAAATCTGAACAAACAATTTGAGCTGCAATTCCTGATCTTAAAATGATTTTTCATTTAAAGAAATCACTTTATTATTACAATAGAAAACCTGAGGCTCTTATATTAGTCATCCTTTTTACAGGAAGTGTAAAGCAGCCTCTAAATAATCATCAGTTTTTTCAGTGAGTTGGTACCATTATTAGTCCATTCTGAAAGCTGAAACCTCAGTCGTAAAGGTGTAGGAGATTTCTTTGATAAAAAATGTCAAAAGCAAAGGAACAAAGCCATACGTTTAAATGACAATTTTAATGTTGGCATTAAAAAGAGATAATATATTTGATGTAATTTTATTTCAATTGTGGATAGCAGAGATCATGGACTATAATATAATAGTAATGTTTTATGTATGTATATATTCATAATCATATATATACATATATAATATTTCAATCTATATAATAGTTAAAACCATGTTTTCCAATATACAGTTTAGCAGTTTTTTCTATTGTCTTATGTTCCCCTTATATACTATTTCTAGATCCTTGTTGAACGCTACATAATTGGACATAATTTAACTATGTGCTCTTTAAAATAAACTCACTTTTGATCCAAAGAAACAAATAGTTTGAAAGTGAAAGGGCATAAAATGATATTTTATGCAAGTAATAACCCAAACTGAGCTGAAATGGCTATACAAATACCAGTCAAAATAGATTTAAAGTAAAAAAATTATGTCACAAGAGATAAAGAAGGATATTATATATTTATAAAAGTGTCAATCCATCAAAAAGATATGATAATTATAAACATATCCACACCTAACAGAACCACAAAACATACGAAGTAAAAGTTGACAGAATTGAAGGGGGAAATGGGAATTTCTACAATAATAGCTGGAGACTTAATTTCCACTTTCAACAATGAATAGGATAACCATACAGTAGATCAATAAGGAAATAGGGGACCTACTATAAAACTACGAGACTTAACAGACATATAAAAGTGATTCATTCTCAAACAGTAGAAGAGACATTCTTTTCAAGCGCACAAGGAACGTTATCCGGGAGAGGCCATATGTTTTGCCACAATACAAGTCACAGTAAAATTAAAGATTAAAACATAAAGAAAGAAACTACATAATTGGGGGAAAGTATCTTAGAAAAGGAAATACATTTGATTAAAATTCAGAGCTGTAGAAATCACTTCAACTTCACCTTGAACTTTGGCATTTTATACTTAGACTTAACTGTTTCCTGTCTCATGTCTATGGGACAAAAACATAGAGCCAAAGTGGGGCTAAAAAAGAGTACAATAGTTACACAAAGAGATGAAAAATGTAATTTAGTGTGCTTTCTTCTTCCAAAGGGTAAGGGTAGGTGGAATGGGCAGATGACCTGGACTTAACTAAAAAATATTATTTTAATGACAATCCCCTAAATGCAACAACAGAATTGTAGGTATATAGGACTTTACTGCCTAAACATTCTTCTGACAGTTAGTATGTCAGTAGTGAAATGAAACTTCTTACAATTTCTATAATGCAAGGCTGTAATTATGTTCACAAATTGGAGCATAAATGATTCAATGTAATTATGATGCATTCAATAGAGATCTTCATAGTAAATAAGAAATGGAAAAACTGCTATTCAGAATAGCAATGATACCATTGTCCTTAGTTTGTGGTTCATAAATTCCATATAACATTTATGACATTTTTAAAAAGTAGCCCTAAGAATAAGTATCATTCTATTATTTCTTTTGGTTCCCCTGTCATGTCAGCAATCAATCAAAAAGCACTAAAATTTACACCTAATTTCAGTTTGTCCAAGTTTTGCAATTCAGTTTATAATTTTTAACAAAATTTTAGATAGGAAACAATGGCTATCTATTGCTGTTTTCCGCAATAGCTCTTATTATGAGTTGCTTAAGAAACACTTTAACAAAAACAGCAATTTACAGAAGCATATTAAAATCATGCCCTTCTGTCCTTAAAATGGAAAATGTATTCTTTGCTTCATTCTGTATGGTTTTTGAGGATAAGAACAATTGCCAACCATTTTTTTTTTCAGATATTCGGGACAGTGGGGGTCCCAAACCAGTGATGGTGTATATCCATGGTGGCTCCTATATGGAAGGTACTGGAAATTTATATGATGGGAGTGTCTTGGCAAGTTATGGCAATGTGATCGTCATCACAGTCAACTACCGACTCGGGGTGCTTGGTAAGAAGTCTCTTTTCTTTTTCCACCGTTAATTCATGAAGTATGTGGTAGTTTTGTTTTGATTTGTTTTGTTTTGCTTTGCTTTGTTTCACCCATTGTTCTATGCTTGCTGACTTTGAATCAAAATTTTTGATGTTTTCAATAAATTCTATAAATGTTCATAAATTACTTGACAGAAGACAGCTAGGGTTGGTTTTAAGATTTAAAAGTAAAAGGAAACAAAATTATGCACATTGTTGAGGAATGCTCTTTGAAGCTTGGCTTTATAGAACTGTGAAAGGCAGCAATGGCTGGGCCTTTCTTAAGAAGAATTAGTCTCTGGACAAATTCTTCTTTCTTCTACTTTTCTTTTTTACAATGCTATAAAATTGCCTGAGGTTTGCCGGGAGCTTAGAAACAAGTTTATACTGTCTTCTAGAATCTGTGTATGGACTGGCTCTGGGGAATGATTGTTTGTCATTGTGGTGCGGGTTTGGGTTTTTTAAAATTGGTCAAATATAATTAGAGATATTTTGTCTAAATGTATTTTGATTTGGAAAATATGCATTGATTTCATAAAGTGACAAAAGGTTCAGTTTAATAATGTATACACATGTAAAACAAAATCTATTCTTCTTGTTGCTGCTTATTATACTATTTATGCTTCTTATTGCTACTATTCTTCTTGTAGAAATTTATTTTCTATAGTATTATCACAATTTGAGGAGTAAAATTACTATATCATGTAATAAAATACCTTTACACATGGTATTTTAGTTAACAGTATTTGCTAAAGGAGTACAATTCATCACAAAAGATTTTTTCATGTTAATTGTTCTCAAAGTCTTATTCCATACTATACAGTTAAAGAAGTATAACTTATAATGCGATTTGGGCACAAAGAGACACCTCACTCATTCTTTACTCTGAAATATTTTTAAAAAGGAATTTGAATTATATTCTCTTTTATATTAATTGTTACTATCATATATTTTAGCCATTGAGGATCAGTTTTTGTCCTCTTCAGTGTTAGTTATTATTCTAACTCCTACTATGTAATCATAATCCTATATTTATGCCAATCTCAAAATGTAAAAAAAAAATAGTTTTTGTCAATCAATGTATATTTTGGGGAGGGTATATTTTATCAATGCAAAGTGAATCTTAACTTTTTTCTAGTTTGCTATTCTGAATTTGGAGTATGGTAGATGATATAATGGATACATTATATCGATGTAGGTATAAAATATTTCTGTAGCATTCTTCCCACATTACTTCACCCATAGATTCTAATCATGCATTGCTTCAGATGTAATTATAATTTCAGTGGGCAGGGATGAGTGTTTTCCCACCAATGAAAACTCTGTATATTAGAAGATGTATAAAGAGATGTTCATAATAATCTTCTTAATCTTCTTAAATATCTTAGTGTTGTCATTTGTTTCTTTTGCAAGATTTTAATGTGAGCATCTTCAATTGCTTTAATGCATTTAATTTTAATTATAGTATATTTTATAGCTCAGTTGTTTTTATTGATTATTATTCTCATATTTTTCTGAATTTCTCAAGTTGGAAATCCTGATGCAGTGACCTGTTTGCCGATTAAAAATTTAAAATTAAATGCCAAATTGTGGTAACAGTGTTCTTAAGGACTTGAACATCCACTTAGTTATATATACTTACTTTATTTTTTAAAAATCTTTTGGTCACACCTTGTGATGCCCTGTTCTGTTATTGTTTGTACTCACATAAAGTAAGATTGCATAAAATGAACTGTGCCATAATGTTTATATAAGCTCTGCCCAATTTTCTTATGCATTCAGAAGTGATGGGGACCTGAATTTGATCCAGTTTGAACCCTTTATTCATGCCCATATCCTGCCTTTTAATGCCACACTCTGAATGATTGGATTGCGGGACAACAGATTAACCAGCTGAAAAATGAAGAACTCAATCACTTCTTTGGTCTGTATAAAGGCAGGCAGTGTTGGTTTTGATGAGGGATGATTTTCCCAGTTTTAAGTTTTTGTTCTGGCTCTATTGCAATGTAAGATTTAACCTTTAGTTGGCTCCTTTGTTTCTCTTAAATGCACCATACGCTAATAATTAGCACTAAGGATCAGCTGTCCTTTATAGACCTCCTCTCAACACGATGACGTATAAAACTCTGTTAGCGAAATATTTTTAGGTGCATTTGGAATATTAGTTCTAGATATATTTTGGTCAGTTTCTTCCTGAAATATGTGTTTGTCCTTGTTAAAATGTATTTAAATGAGTTAATTCATGAAAAAATGAAATTATTAGAACATTTGTTTCGGCACACTTTGCGTGTGTGGCATATGACAATGAGATCAATGGCTTGTCTGACAAGAAAATTACAACAATAAAGACTGTAGGGTTTCTGTTGTTGTTAATAATTTGACTGGTCATAACAAGGTAGGCCAAGGTTTCTTGGATGTGGGATCCAAAATTTTCCTGTTTAGTTTGCACTTGGGAGAGTGTTGGAAATTAAGCAGAAAATAAAATTTGATCCCACATCAGAGGAAATCATGAGCTGTGCTTTGACTTGGATGTTTTGGTGTGAACAAAATGAACTTTGGAGTCCAGTACAGATTGGCTAATTATAAGACTATTGCTCTCAGATGATTGACGCAAAAAATCAGGATGTCTGAAACAGGTAATGTAATTAGTGTTGATTTGAATTTGCCATCCCACAGGAGAAATTTGGCAAGTTTTTTTGTTTGTTTTAACAGTAAGTAAAAATGTGATAATGTTTCAGTTATAAAAGTCTTATAGCTATCTAGCAGGCCAGGTTCCAGTTTAAAGCATTTCATGTTAAAAAAATACATTTTGTTCCTTACAAAGTAGAAGTAGCATAGAAGAAACAAATGCCTCCTATGATAGCATTGCTCTGAAGAACCTAGGAATAGCTTGGAGTTGCTCAACTAAAGCTCTTCTGCGGTTTCCTTTGGAGTACTAACATAGACTAGACTATCACTATTATTTTATTTGAGATGCTATTGGTGGCGATAAGAAAAACTGCTAAAAAGGTTGAAAAAAAAAGCAAGAGGATACAGGAATCTGCCTGCTGACCTCACTTGCCCAGTTTCATCTTAGAGCTCTCCGTAACTTCATCTCATTCCATCTCACACTTCCAGTGAATGTTTAGATTTTCTTTCACTTTTGGTTATATACGGTCTTTGTCTTCAGCCTATTTTAACTCTTCGTCCTCATTTATTTAATACATTGTTACATAGTCCTTTAAAATCTGTTTTAAATAATTGTTAATACAGTTATTTTTAAATATTCTGGTATATAGTTAATAAAAATTGTCATATTGGAAACTTAGGGAGAAATGTTTTGATTATGTGTTCTTAAAGAGGAAAATAATATTAAATGTTATTGTAAACAGGATAAACATATATACTTAAGAACAAGTATTTGAAGGGAATATTAAATAATTATTCACTATTAGGACTGGATATTGTATAATAAACATTTTTGAAAATAGAAACTACCCAAATGATATATTTTCAATTCTCAAAAATGAGAAAAATACATTAACTCATTTAGTGTTAAAATTGTGTTTCAAATACCTCTCTAAATTTAGAATAAATTTATAAGTTATTTTTGGAGAAAAAAAGAAAAGTTATATACCACTGTTAATTTAGGCAAACATAAGATTTTTATCTCATGGAAATGTAATGTTAGTTTTACCTTGATATAGATATTTTGGAGGTAATTATGTGTTCATAATTCTGGCCCATGTGACTTATTTTAGAAAAAATTTGTTTTAGATATTTCAAAAGTACTGATATCTATCTGAAAATCTGGCAACTTTTGAGAAGTCTAATTAAATGTTTTACTTAGTAATTCAATGTCTACACTACCCATCTATGAAAACAATAATTCAAAGTGCTAGCCCATCTACTGTATTTGAAGAATGACGTTTAGCTTACTTTATAATGCCATGTAGGGTTAAATCTGACCATGAAAATCCTATGAACAGCAGCAGATCATTGTCCAATACAGAGGGGCAGGTGAGAGGACGGCACAGCAAGACCAGGCTGGTTCCACTCTGCTGTACAGGAGTCTCTAGGAGTCAGAACGACTTGAGGTCACTAACAAGGACTAAAGCATTTAAAACAAGCTTTTGTTAACTTTACTGCATATCAATTTTAATTCACACCTTAATTCATTTTTGTTCTATTGGAAATGGTTAATGACATTTGTTGATTCTTATAACTATATTGTCTATGCAATAATCATGCTTCATGTATTCTCAGGCAAATGACAGAAATAAATACAACTTTGCTGTGGTCAGTCATCAAATATGTAACACTTGTTTCCAGCAATATGCATCTTCTATGAGCAATAAAAAGTAAGAACAGTATAGTCCTTATCTTTAGAGAGTTTTCAATCTAATTGAGGGGAGAAGTAAACTCAGTAGAGAATGATAATTGGTAGTCTACTTCATATCTTATAATAATATGTGTTTGTTAATTGATTTTTTATATAAAAAGAAAAATCAGAACAACAAAGAAGGGAGCATAGACTATCAGATGGACCAATATAGAAGCAGTGACTGAGGTCATATTTGAATCTGAGCAGCCTAACAGCAAGGAAGTTTGCTGAAGTCTGTTTAATGCTCATGATTGAAAAAGAAAAGTATATTAATTCCTGAAGTGGTGCGATATGTTGTCATTATTATTTTTGGTATTCTTTTGCATTGTTTTTGTTTCTGTCTGGCTCTAAATCCTAAAACGAACAAACGAAAAACTCAAATTGTGACCTTGTCTTTGACAGCAATATAAAATCAAACATTAAATTTTATAGGATCATGTAAACATGTTCTTGGGAGGTAGGAGAGGAGTCAGTCTGTCCTTGAAAAGTCAAAAATGTCTTCACAGAATTGCGTTATTTGAGTGAGACCGTGAAGAGTAGGTTATCTCTGGGATTCAATGAAGGGAAGAGAAAAGGATATTGTTTCATTTTCTTTTTATTTATTCATACTCTTTCCA